AACAGTGTAAAAATATTTCTTATTCACGTTAGTTTAATCAGTTCTGTATTGTAGTTTTGGAAAGCAATATTGAGAGTACAGATTCAAATTAGGCTGTATTTACTAAGCATCATCCAAATGCCAAGCATTTTACTAGGGGATGTTTATAAACTCTATTTTATTGACACAGAATATGTAAATTTAATCATCACAAAAACCTCTAAAAGTAGCTAACATTCTACTCAGGGGTGAGTTTTGTTTTCTCCAGCCCATAAAACTAGTAATGATCCTAGCTGCATTTATTTAGGACTTAACTGTGTTAACAATTTCCCTACATTGTATAATTTGATCCACACTGTAACTTTATGAGGTGGATGATTTCAAATTCAGTTTCACAAATGGAGGACCTGTGGTCATGAGGGGGGAAGTAACTTCTTCAAGGTTATAGGGTGAAGGAGTTTGAAGGTACTGTGTTCAGAAGGCAGTGGGGCCAGAACTTAAGCTCACTTTTTCTAGGACTTCTATCTCTAGTTGGTGATGTGGCAGATCTGCCCTCCATGACCAATCACTGCTCACACTGGCCCTCCTGGCCTCAATGAGGTTATGCACATTCCTGGTGGTACAGTTTGTGCTAATGTGTAAAGCAGAGGTGTCATGGGGTGGTTCCTGGTGCCAGGTCACTAGAGGATAAAGAGGGTAACCTTTAATGGTGCAACTGATATTCCCTACGCAGGAGGTTATGGACACTGTTCGTGGGTGTCACCTCCTTTTGCCACTCAGAGCTCCCACAGCTCCAGCCATCTATGACCCCCCCTTCCATCTTGTTCTTTCTGTTGTTTTCTCATTAAACATAAAATCACAGAAACCCAACTGAAGATGGAAAAGCCACAGACACGTTTTTAAATGTCTACTACTAACAATATGTGTTCCCTAATTCTGGAGAGTCAGCAAAAATTTGATACAAGGAAAGGAGGAACCAAAAGTGAAAATCCAAGAAACAGAAAGCGATCAACCTGTGGAAACTCTTTGAAACCAAATACGGAACAGGGATTGTCCCCATGATAATTGGCTAAGTCTGTATGAGCCAGATTCCTGGGGCAAAGAGTTTCTTTGCTTCATAAGCCATGGTGCTGAGCCAATGGTAAAGACTGTGCCATATATTTTGGCTTTTCAAATTGACCTTTCCAGAATCTTAATTAAGAATATTGCAGATTCCATATAAATGGATCATTCTGTATTTGGTTGCCAAAAATACTTGCACCATATGTGTCTGAATCCAAATTGTGACCAGTGCTCCAATTGGAATTGATTGTTTTCTCTTCTGTGAGCCTAAAGAAGTGTACTTTCATCTTATTTATGGACTCTACCATACCTTGCCAATATGTATTTATGGAAATGCTTTTCTTTAATATATTTATTTTGAAGTCCTTCTTTTGAAGCAGCTGCATATTAAAATAAGTAGAGAATGTCTTATATACTTTTTACTGTCCTTTTGATGGTGGTCTTCTGGGATTTTGAGAGTCATTGTACTTTAATAGCTTGTCTCAGAGGAAAACTGAAAAGATAAAAGGAATTTAAATGAACAGAATTGATATGTATCCAAAACTTGAGAGCAGTTAACTGAAAGTTCAGACTTTTTAGTACATTCCTTGCCTTTATTATCTGTCATTCATCTCACAAAAAGGGAGTCTTGATTGTCTTTCCCCTCACTCCCTACCCCTTGTTTTTATGCAAAAGAGTGCATTGCAAAAAGGCCTTCCATCGTGTGGCAGGAAGCTCATAAAATTACATTAAAGAGTCTAGCTCAGGAAGAACGACTTCCCAGACACCATCTAAATAGTGTCTGTGATTCCCCACATGCTGTTTCTTCAACAGCTCAGATGGATCAGGCATTATGGCTCCTGGTTGAGAGTCTTATCATCTAATATTGGCAAGTACTATCCCACCTTGAATTCTGAGGCTACAGAATTTTGATTTTGAAGGCCAGGTGGTAGTGCAGCGATAATACAGCTGAGCCCACTTGGGAAAGGTCCTGGATTTGCATCCTGGAACCTCCACAAATAAACTGGCTGACTAGTGGTGGATCATAGTGGGAAGACCTTGTTGGGGGTGTCTGTCTCTTTGACTCTTTCTTACTGATGAAAAGAAATAAATATATAAATAAATAATCCAACTATATTTTAAAAATTAAAAAAAAATTTTAAAAATGCTGGGCAGGAGAAGAAAGAAAGGTGAGCAAGATCTTGGTACCAAACTCTGCTGCTATTGACTTTGTAATCCTGGGCAAGTAACTTAACATATTTGGGTTTCAGAGTCCCATACAATATAAAATAGGGATAAAAGTTGACCTATCATGTGCTCCAGGGTGTTTTTAAATGAACGAATGGAAAAATGTAAGAAAATGTATGTTATGTTTTTAGAACAAACTAGTAATAAAAGTCTAGGTTTTGTTAATAATAATTTATTGACATTTTCTTCCTTTTGGGCACAGATTCTTGTTTCGTTTTATTGTTTAAGCCACTAGTCGTTCAGCCTATGTTGATTCTCTGTGTTCTGCAATGAAATGGAAAGGAAAGAAAACATGTAGTGTGCATGTGTGCTTGTCTTACCTGAAATCGAGAAGCCCTGGCAGCAGCTAGCATAGTTTTCCAACCCAGTCTTCAAATAATGGATTCCAAAATTGAGTAAAACTAGGACTCAAGCTAAATATTTTCTCTCCTTTATTTTTCTTGTTTCAATTCTTTTGCTTTTATCTGCTCTTTTTCATGTTTAGTCATGAAACTCTTCCTTTCCAGATTCCTTTATTGACAACAAACAAATATACTTGAGTTCCTGTTAATTAAGAGTCAGACTTGGGACCAGCAGATGGCATAATCATTATGTCACTGGACTCCTACATAGGTGACCATGGTTTGCATCCCAGACCAGGTGGCTTAAAACTCACACCTGGTGTGTGTGTGCATACTCAAGATCCTGAGAGGAGAATGGAGGAGAAGGGATTATGGCTTGGCCATCCCTCTTGGGGGGTGATTTTCCACTTTCTGTTGCTCTGTCTTTTTTTCTCTGCCTCTGCAGCAAGCACATACACCCATAGCAAAAATCTCTCTCTTAAAAAAAAAAAAGAAAAAAAGAAAAAAAAGTCAGACTGAGTAGAGTCTAGGGAAAAAAGAAAGATATGTTCCTTCCTTCCCATACTGACTTCATATACTAAATTTTGACCATCAGATAACCTGCACATTTCTCCTTGAAACTTTATGTAGACAGGACCTGAAAAATGGCAAACTAAGACAGGCTAGGAGTTTGGAAAGGGGGGTGAAGGAACCAAATTATAATTAGAAATTTGGATATTAAGTGAACTATGTGATCCTCAAAGACAAAAACCTGGTATTATTTCACAACATTTCTATAAAAATTAGGGGTATTCTTTGAATAATAGGTTGTTTTATATATGTAAAATTTCTCATAATAAGAAAAAGGGTTATCTGATAAAGGAAAATGTTTTAATTATAGGATACTTAGAAAGTACTATGTTTTAATTTTTTTTTTTTTGGAGAGGTTTTTCGCTACAGGACACGTGTGCTTGCCGGAAAGATAGAGAGAGACAGAGAGATAGAAAGTGAGAAATCACCCCCCAGGGGGATGGCCATGCTGCAATCCCTTCTCCTCCATTCTCCTCCTGGGATTTTGGGCACGCACGCACACGCACCCGGTGTGAGTTTAAGCCACCGGGTCTGGGACTCAAACTGCGGTCGACTACATGGGAGTCCAGCGACATAGCCACTAGGCCAACTGCTGGTCCTTTAATTTTCAGACCCATATACAATTAAAAAAAAAAATCTAAGGAAATATTTCAAGAGAAGAGTTGACTTAATAAATAAATTAGAGGGGCCCAGACACTGGTGTTGCAGTTAAATGTGGCACTCTGAGAGGCTGGCTGACATGGGAAAGTTGCAGGTTTACATCTGGAAACCCTGAGTACTCCAATCAAACATGTGCCCATGATGTAGGGCTGGCCGAAACTGGGGATGTATCAAAGTATCAAGACCCTGTTGGGAGTGCTGCCTGTCTCTCTGCCTCTCTTTCTCTCTTTCTGTCTCTTTTATTCATGAAGGAAATAAATAAACTTTATAAAAAATAAGTAAGGGGTGAACAGGTACATGGTAGAAAAGGCACTGGACTCTCACTGGACCACAGTTTGAGTCCCACACCCATTGGCTTGAAAATCACAGCAGGCACATACACATGTGTGTCCAAATCCTGAGGGGAGAATGGAAGAGAAGGGACTGTGGCATGTCCATTCCCTCTGGGATGTAAAGGGTGATTTCTCACTTTTCCTCTCTCTGTCTCTCTCCAGTGAGTGTTTGAGCCCTGTGACAAAAACCTCGAAAAATAAATTAATTAATTAGGTTTTCTAGAAGTGACATCTTAAATCTACAAATGATGCCCATTGTATTGAATTGTATTAAAATCATTTTAAAATTGGATAAATATAACCCTGTTCAATGACACTGGTCATTGTATTTATGTTATTTAATTTATTTTTGTTTTAACATATTTTACAAAGATATACTTTCTTATGTGCAGTCCTAATTTGCAAAAATTACAAGTTAGTTCATTCTCAACTACTAAAGCTATAATTTGTGAGATTTTATTACACATGGAGGCAGTGATAAATTTACTCAATTATAAATGGTCATTTCTTCCGCTAGGCAAAATGTTATCGATTGCCTTTTAATAATGGGGAAGTGTTTTGGTTTTTTTTTTTAAACAAACACATTTTAATATCATCTCCTTCAATATTTTTCATTGTTTCCTATCAGATTAGAGCACAACAGATGTCTCTAAATTCTTGATTATTTTAGCTAGGTGGAAGGTGAGCAGATATAATAGACAAAAATTTGTCATGTCCTTATGTTGTTACTGACTACATTCTTAATGTCTAGCCTGGCTTTTTTAAACATGTAATTGTGCTTTTGTTTTTAATTTTATCTTTATAGTAAAAAAATATATTTTTCTTACAGTTAACATCTCAATATCTAATGACAGTATACTGTCTCCAGAGGATTTGCCAACTAGTTCTTCTACTGGCTTGGTAAGTGGTATAACATTTTCTACTCACACAACTGCATATATATATATATATATATATAGTACACTCCATTTGTAATACCATCATAAGATGTCACCTATCATGTAGCAATCCTGGCATGAACACATATTGAATAATCATTGCTAGAAGAGTGACAGAAAAAAAAAAATGTTTCTTTTGCTCTAGCCAGGTTTTTATCCTTTACCTTTTGTAATAAATTGAAACCAACATTGATTCCTAAAACATGCTTTTAAACTTAGGAATTTAACTATCATATCCCGTTAATTTGACCTTGAAATATTTTCACAAGGGAAAATGGGAGAAGTTGTAAAATGAGAGCATGGTGTCCTCTCTCTGTTGCTAGTACAGTTAAGAATTCTTCTGACTAACCAAATGGTGCTGTGTTCTCTTCACTAAGGGTGATTGTGGCCAGATATTTTTTTTCCCTGTCGTTAGAAAGGATTGTGCTTCTGTCACATGGTATCCTTTCCCATGGCTTGTAACCAAGGATCTTTAAGGGACTGGAACTAAGCTTTAAAAATGAGCTGTTTTGCATGGAAGGTCGCTCACTGGAAGGAGACTTTTGTGCTGGAGAAAAAGGGGAAAATGCTGTTTCAGACTTCCAATTGTGATATTTCTATGCTGAATATGGAAGCTTACCAACAAACATCAGTCTCTCAGTTATAAAGACAGAAACCTTAATACCTTGTATTGATAGAGTGCCCATCTCTCGGGAGACCAGAACACTCCTGCAGATATTATGTAATGAGTGCCCACTCCATCCCTTTCGAAGATGATGTTTTGTATCTTTCCCGGGCAACTCTTGCATGACCCTGTTTCTCCCTTGCTTTTACATTCTTTTTCTCTCTCGACTTCTGTCCTTAATGTTAAAGTTCGCTTTGACTTTTCTCAACCTCAATTACCTTTCTATTTCTGCCATCTTTGATATTGTGCATGTATGTGTGTGCATGTAACAGTAAGTAGAAATGTTTCAAAGGCCACATGCAAAAAGGGTCCCATTTTCAGTCTTCTGGTAACCAGCCTACTTTCTAAAAGGACTTGTCCAAAATACAAGCAAAATTACTTCTGTGTGGATGTTAAAGAATTTTTACTTAAAATCTTACTATGGTTAAAAATCTAATGAGTAAAAAGCATAAGTTTAGCCTGGGTCTGGTGGCTAAGGTAACTGAATCCTACATGACTGACTGTGCAGTTGAGTCCTGGATAGCAATGGCTTAAAACCCCAAATCCCTAAAGGTGAGAGAAATGGAGGAGAAGGGATTGTGGCATGATCATTCCCCTTAGGGGAGGGAGGCGCTTTCTCATTTTCTCTTTCTCTCTCTCTGTCACTCTCTGGCTATAGTAAGCGCATGTGCCCTCTGGCAAAATTTTAAAAAATCAAACATAAGTTCATTTTCAATAAAAATTAATAAAACATTAACTTCCACTGACTTAAAAGGATGGTTTCCTAATTTAATTCTTTTTTGCAGCTAATCAAGGAAAACATTAAAAATTAATGAATATTCAAGTCCCACATTGGGGCAAGTCCTGGAAGAGATCCCAGTAATTGATATGCAATTACAATAAAATGTCACAATAAGATTCATGAAAAACAAATGGCAGTTCTGGTTGACCTCTGTGTGACTATGATAGAGGACTTAGAGGCATCATAATGATTATAATTTAGCTACCATTTATTGTGCATCTTCTAGAGGCCAGGTGTGTTACACAGACTGTAATCATTGTAAACCTTAATATGTATTATAATCATTAATACACACACCAGGCATAATTTTCTCCATTTTATAGATGAGAGAGACTGAAGCTGCAGAAGGCAAACAACCTTTCTTGCTCTAGGTTTACAGCTGTAAATTAGAAAAACAAATATTTGAACTACAGTCGGAATGACTCTAAGGCTATGCTGTTGCTCGTCCATTGGGATACTTCAGTGCTTGCAGACTGAAAAGTTTACCACTCAGTTTCTGTGGATGCCATAGAATTTGGGGCAACAGATCCTCTCATGGGTATTGTGATATGGACCTTAGTTAAAATGTTTAGGTGCTATGGTCAGGTCTTCTAGGGCAAGAAGTTGGGGAGAAAACACATATGTGTGCATATGTACACATGCATGTGTATGTACATAATCATGAAGGACAACTTCTATCTTCTCATATCAATACCAATATGGATACTTTATGTTAGCATACACACATACACATACAGTACATGCATCTAATATAGGTAATGATTCAGAACTGAGTATTAAAGAGGATTTAGAGACCAGCAGATGATGTCATGGTTATGTTGCTGGACTCCCATGTAGTTGACCATGATTCTAGTCCTGGATCCAGCACCTTAAAACTCATGCCAGATGTTTATGCATGTTTGCCTAAAATCCTGAGAGGAGAATGGAGGTGAAGGGATTGTGGCATGGCCATCCCCTCAGGGCATGATTTCTTGCTTTCTCTGTCTCTCCAGCAAGTGCATGTGCCCTATAGCAAAAAACTCTTAAGGGGAAAAAAAAAAAAGCAGTAATAGGATTTATTATAATTGGTAATAACTACCATTTATTGAGCACCTATTAGAGGCCAGCTTTTTATATTACTGTCTTATCTGCCCCCTCACCCCCGAGGGTACATGTACTTGCCAGAGTGAGAGAGAGAAAATGAGAAAACATCCACGATGGGGAATAGTTAAACCGTAATCCTTTCTCCTCCATTTTCCTCCTTTCAGGATTTTGGGAAGGCGTACACATATGCCCAGTGTATTTTTCAAGCTGCTGAGTCCAGAACTAGAACCACACAATCAGCCATGTGGGATCCAGCCATTTTAACCATCACACTATAGACTGGCCCACATTAATTGTCTTTCTCACAATAACTTTATGAGTTATTAGATGTTACCTTTTTTTTAGAGGTGAAACAGAGGCTTCAAAATGTCAATAAACTCCAGAGGGCCGTATTACCAATATATAGCAGAACTTGAACTCAGGGCTTTCTAGCTCTTAAACTTGCCTTATTCCCATTCTGTGGGAAAGCAGCTCAGTGTTTCACATAGCAGGACTAGCAGATACTGAGTTCTCTTGTCACGCGTCATGGTTTCAGACACAGGCTTTGGAATCTTCTCAGGTTCCCATCTATAACATGGGGATGATAATAATCCCTAATTGAAAGGTACTCTTTGGGTCAAACTACCAGGTAGGCAGGACTGAGAGCGGTGGCTGGCATGCAGCCATCTTGCATTCAGTTTAGGTGTTATCATCATTAAACCAGGTCCTGTGTCCTCCACTGCTTAGAAAGCTGCTGAGCAAGTCCTCTGTCTCTTTGACCGAGCTCTGGTACCCTGAACGTTTCCTAGGACATACAGTCATCAGAAATTAATTTCCTGCATTTCAGCCATGATTAGATTATGAGAGAAGGAGCAATAAAAGTGACATGTAGCCCCCAGGCTAGCGAGGCCTCCTCACTAGGCCCTGAGAATGTTCTGTCAGGGAAGGAAGGCCATTTCCCTTCAGCTTCATTAGTGCGAAGACAGGCTTTCTTCTTTCTGGTGGTAGGGGTGTATTACAGGGAGAAAGAGCAGAAAAAAAGGGGGCATTAGTGTGTTTAAACAGAGAATGACTACACCTCAAGATAAAAAAGCGGATTTTTCATTATTTCCATTTCTTGTTGGAATCATTGTGTCTTTATTTCTTCTCACTTATGCCAGTTTTCTTAAAGCTTTATCACTTCACATGGTCCTTCAACTTGCAAACAAATTCTTTAGATGGTCCCCGTAAAACTTTGACACCAGCCACAGTTTATCCATACTGTATCCAAACAGTGAATATTAAGATCTGTTGTCTTCTGGGTACCAGCTCGCAGACAGAGGGACCACATCTTAAAATCTGTTAGTCTCTTCTGAACAGATAAATGAAAGGATCAGTTAGTATCTGCTTTTTGTATCAAATTCCTTTTTTTAAAAAATGAAATTTAACTTAAAATACACAGTTTGGTAGTGTTCATTGAAATCCGCTTGACTGTTAAATATTCCATGTAACCACTGTCCAAACAAGATACTGTGTAGAACATTTCTATCATTCCAGGAGGTCCCAGGGAATGATCTATATCTTGTTTCATACCCCAGCTTCATGAGCCTGTGGAGCTCCTTCTTTGTCTGTTTATTCTGCTCTCAGCCCTCCGAAAGCAGATGCCTTAGCCTTTTCAGAGGTCTCCATATGTCTCAGAGGGTTTCTCTCGGCTCTACTTCCTTGCCTCCCAGCTAAAGAAAGGGGCTCTCAGGACCAGCAGGTGGCCTGGTGGTTAAGGCGCTGGACACTCCCACATGGCTGACCACGATTCTAGTCCCAGACCTGGTGGCTTGCTTTCTCAATTCCCCTCTTTCTCTCTTTCTGTGTCTCTCTCTGTCAAATTAAAAATGAATGAATGAATAAACAAAAAATTCTTTTAAAAAAGAAAGGGGCTCTCTGGCTCTTGGGGGAGGCCTCATCTGTCTCAGTGGAGTTTTCTCAGTTCTCTCGTATGATCATCTGGTCTACCATGTATTACCTGTGTACTGGGCAAAAGTCATAATAAAGTTCAAAGGGTAGGTATAGACTTGTCTAGGCCTACCTCCTTTGAATTCCAATATGTCCCACCACTCTGCATGCAACCATTGACAGTGTACTAAATATGTGACTTATTTTTCCTTTCTTCCCTCTGTCATGGATGTCCATATCTTCCATATGCTGCTGTCCCTGTGCTGAGGCAGCCGTGAGACTCTCACTATGAAGGGTTTGATGTTTCAGAATTTAGTTTATTTATTGAGTTGTTGGAAAAGTCATGACATATTTCTTTTTCTATGCAAAATGTTTTGTAACTTTTCTGTCAACCCAGTAGGTTACTTTGCATTCTCATCTTGATGGTGGATTTTTAAAAACTGTTATTTTGTAGCTTATCCAACTTGCTTTGGATGTTAGGATAGGAGTGATAGTCTCTTGCAGCTTTCTCAAGTTTTAACCATAA